TATATTTTTTTCTTTTAGCATTGAATTGAACATTGCAAAAACAAACATTTGTTTTGTTGATTAAAAATAAAGCCAAGGTTGAGTGAACGGTTACAGTTACAGTGATAGTAAAGTATACATATTTATATTAGTACTAATATTACAAAGAAGAAAGATTTTTGTTCGTATGTTTGTTTGTACCGAATAAACTCTAAAACTACTGGACCGATTTAGATGAAATTTGGTAAGAAAATAGTTTGACACCCTGGGAGGACAAAGGATAGTTCTTATCCCGGAAATCATCCCTTAAGGGGGGGGGGGGGGTAATGGGGATGAAAGTTTGTATGTCGAGTCGCTAGTATATAATAAAGAGGTAGCTATCTACTTTGTATCAGCCCTTTTTAACGTCCCACTGCTGGGGGTGGGCTTCCCTTCAATTACAGGTTGATCAGGCCATAGTCACCACGCTGGCTATGTGCGGGTTAGCAAACGATCTAATTTGGACTTAGAATATTTTTTATTTGTATATGGGATGGAAAACACGCAATAATAATAGTTTTTAGAACCTGTATCGGTATGTTCGCTCGCAAAAGAATTGATTGTTTTTTGATCTATTAACATAATTATACCTTTGTTTTATGAACGTTGTTTCTAGTTTGTACGAAATGATGTTTGAGGTAAGTACATATGTATATATAGGAAAACTATAAAAACGGATTATGAAAATTGTTATAACGGTTTTTAAATATCTTGCAATAGAGAGTAGGTACTTGAAAACGCATTACTTTTGTATAGACATTCGAAAAATATGTAATTGAATGACATTTAAAAACACGAAGAAAATTAAGCACAAGAATTTTACTCTTATTTAAAAGAGAATCTTATTTAGACGAGAGAGAATAATAATTCTAATTTGCTGCAACGACCATGTATACTTCGAAAAACACCAAAAAGATGAAAAATTGTGTAAGAACGGTCATACAATTGTCATACAATTTTAGTCTCTACTAGGAACCAAACCAGTGACAATCTAAGGACTGTACACCACTGTGCCATATGTATCAAAGTAGACTATCGCATCTAATTGAATCATTATTGTTCGTAATAAGTGGCAACCCTACCTACGTCATTGATTGAACAAACTGGCCTTCCTGCCTTTTGTCCAGATAATGGCTTTAGCTAGGTATGAAATAATGAATGGAAAAATGTGTTGTTAAGGTTTATTCACATCAATATATCAGGATACAATTTTCGCACGTTGCATACAATAATGTTAAGGCAATAATTTTATGTAAACAGTAATAAGATTTCACTGTCACGATAAGATTTTATTAATTGTTACTTTGCTATTTGGTATAAAATAATGCTTATCAAAAATTGCCTACAATAATAGCATTCCTTAGATTTCTAATACGAACTAGTAATTATTTATTTTTAATTCTAGAATGAGTACGTACAATTCTTGAATTATTATAGTGACGTAAGAAAATATTATCGTGTAGATGAGCCTTTATGTATGTATATTGTATAGGTTTTATTTGTCACGCTGTCAGTGGCCAAGTTTAATACAATTGTTTATGTAATCAACATTATAGGTACATCTATATAATTACTTAATTACATAAGCAGGCTTACATGAATAAATGAAAAAACAAAACGTCTCATTAAACATTTCTATACGTGAACTATAAGTCAAGTTAGTCTGAAAATTATAGTTTTAAATTCTTCATTCGAGTTAGAATTTAACTATTTTTGCACTAAGAGTTTGATATGTGGTCTCTATATTATATACTAGCCTATAATTAGTTTTAAAACATATCTAACCCACGGGAACCTTACGTTTTTTTTCGGGATAAAAAGTAACCTATGTGCTATTCCAGACTATAGTCTATCTCTGTGCCAAATTTCATCCAGATTCGTTCAGCTGTTCTGGCGTGAAAGAGTAACAAACATCCATCCATCCATCCTCACAAACTTTCACATTTATAATATTAGTATGGATATGGATTAGGCAGTTGATGTCTGGTATTCCATGTTATGCAGGACGTTGTGCATTCGAAAAAACAAAAGACAAGAGCTAGTGGCTTGAAGAATAAATATATACACATTTGTTGAAGTTTAGCAAGAAATAAAATTTTGAATCATTCAACTGAAACATTAACTATACGGCTATTAAAGGTATTTTGGACCTTTATGGGCAAAATTCTGTTCTTCAGCTCCTTGCGAGTGATATTATTTCTTTTCTTTTTATAAGATATACTCTTAATAAGGATGCTGGACTGTTCCCTACTTTAAAGTGTTGCAACGTGATGCATCAAAGGCAAGGTTAGTTTAAAAATAACACGGAAATCTCAAGATTGAGAGTTCCGTTATAGCGGTTGTATCCGGATGGGACTTGATTTCTTGCACTCGTAACTGACTTAGACCTTACTAATTTATGATTTAAAATAAATAACATTAAGTGGGTTTTTCTGTCATATTTATTTATGTTGTGCTTCAGAAACTAAAAATTTTAGAGTATATGTTTTTAAGTCAGCGATCCAATAAATACATTGAAAAAAATGTGATTGAACAACTTTAAAAAATCTGGATCTTAACAGCACCAGCCACTGAGCCTAACTATAGATAAGTACCTACCATACAACATTTTTATCCAAATAAGACAAGCCGTTTAGAAGAAGAATCAAAGCACACGCACAATAGAATTTCATATATTAAAGGCAATCTATAATAATATAAGTTACCCCTAAGCAAGGATTTCTTCAACGTCAACCACTACAGGAACGATTAGGGGTAGCAAAGTTTGTATGGAAATAAATTAATATTTAAAGGGTGTGAAATTAAAAGGAAGGGCTACACAAAGCGTTTAACAGTTGCTCTCGTTTCTAACATATTTTAGTATGAAATAAGATTAAATATAGAATGTGTCCCGCAAAACGCAGATTTTTTTATTGCAAGGGTGCAAGGGTCAGGGTTTGATGTATTTTTAAATAAATTATTATATAAATTTTTGCATGCCCATAACAGCCAATGTTTTGTTATATTATATATGTATATTATTTTATGAGTATATGATTATGATATGTGTATATAGTAGGTATAGTTAGGCTATATGATTTATGAAATAAAAATTATATGATTTTATATATTCTTCTCGTAGAATAAATATTTAATATTTCCTTAAATAATTAAGACAAATAGGATTCGAATCGAGTATCAAAATAAAGGTTTCAAAGGAACCTTTACTACGTACAGGGTGTAAACTAACTCTGTAATTTTTTTCCGTAATAATGTAATTGTAAATAACATAAGTGGTCAGTATATTAGTGTACTAGAAAGTTGCAGAATGGACTTGTGACAAGTAAAGGCACTTTTTAATCTGTGAATAATATTCAATTCAATTTTTTCAAATAACTTGTTGTTGGCTTCAAAGTTGATAACATTTAATTCGATTGAATACTTTCAATTCAATTCAATTTTCTTGTTAATGGCTTCAGAGCGTGCCAGTTGGGCACAGATCACTTCGTCAATGTCACGTACTTTAAGAACACAGATAATGTAAGTAGAACTGTCAAATCATAAATGGCGGGAAAATATTACTATTGCATTATAATGTTTATTGATTTAGTTATTTATAAACGAATAACACTTTAACACAGTGAATAAATAGAATATAGAATAAAAAATTACTGCACAACCTGTTTGTTTTATTTTCTAAACTAATGTCTAAAATGCATACAGTTTTAAAAAGGTATCTCATAGAACTTACGATATTTAAAGTATAATTTATTTTTAATACCATACAATAAATAACATAAGAAAACTAAAATTTAGTCTACAAACTAAACCAAAAAATTAAAAATAGTTTTACGTAAAGACACACAAATTTTATTTATATGTATATAAAATCTTACCTTACTTTGTTGAATAATTCTAACTACTTATAGTAAAATACATGCATTTTTAACTATATTTGATTATTACCTTGTAAATAACATTAAAATAGGGTAAAAACTCCAATTTTGAATACTAGATAGGTACATAAGACGTTATGAAAATATTAAATACATAAAAAATACTGTTACAATAATTGTTAGTAAGAATTGTGCTATTATTAATATTGTGCTATCATTAAGTACTTAGAAATACATGAATGGAGTTTCTACTGTAAATGAACTATAATATGGAAAAATCTTACTTTAACTGGGCCTCATAAAATTTAGGTATCACCAAAAAGGATCTGTAACAAACAAATAATTATATCATTAAATGCAATTGGTACATGGAATATAAAATAGAAGTATAATTACCAGTGTAAAGCGCAGTGGTAAAGCACTCGCTTGGGAAACCGAGTGAAGCGAGTTCAAATCCCGGGTCTCGCACCTCTGATATTTTCATGTGCGAATTATTTACAACATGATTACCACTTGTTTTACGATGTACATATCGTGAGGAAATCTGCATGTTTGAGAGAACCTAGCAAGTTTTCGTAAAGTAATTAAAAAAAGCCCTAACTCCTGAAAATGTACATGTACATGAACACGATCTATCCCATAAATTATAATATATAATACTAGCGACTCACCCTCGCTTCGCTCGGGTTGGTCCCTAGGTTGATGCCCTACACAAATTTTCATCCCTATTTTCACCCCTTTAAGGGATGATTTCCTGAATAAAAATATCCTATACCCTTCCTAGGGTCTCAAACTATCTTTTTACCAAAGTTCATCTAAGTCGATTCAGTAGTTTTTAAGTTTATTCGTTTCAAACATACAAAAGTACAAATCTTTCCTCTTTCTTTGGATAGCTGGATGTTTGTTACTCAATCACGCTAGAACAGCTGAACGGATCTGAATAAAATTTGGCATAGACATAGACTATAGTCCGGAATAGCACATACATTACTTTTATCCCCGAAAAATGTACGGTTCCCGTGAAATAAAGTTTTCACAGAGCAAATGATCGACTAACTAATCCATAATAAGCTAATAATTTATATAAAACACCACTACATACCTCACCCCAAAGCACCGGCCACAATAGACGTCATGACGACCACGAGGGTGGTAGCCACCCCCCCGATGCCGACGCCCGCGCCGTACACCGCGCCGTCCTCGCCGAACGCGTCCGCTACATACAATCCGTCTGTCGAATAGCCAACTGGTGAGACACCAGGTGGCATTTCTAGACTTTTTTTGGGTTTTTATGGGATTTTAACAATATAAAGCTTATTGGAAAAGCTTGGGTAATTGTTTTTTTTTTTAATTAGAAAAACAATAATTTCATAAAAAACGGAGACGGCCTTTGCCCTGCAGTGGGACACTACAGGCTTATAATAATAATAATAATTAAAAAAGAGCTATAATAGTGAAAGAAATGAGTTTAATCTGAGGATCATTTAGATTATTTCAGTGTGTACGTATGTTTTTTTTGTTTTTTTTTTACAAATATGCTTAAGGCAGATAGATAGTAAATTTTAAAAAGTAATAATTAAAAGTAAATTAAAATTAAGTCACTCATAAGCATTTAAGAAAGTCTAATATATCTACGTGCAGTTTTGAAAATAATTTATCTATAGGTACCATAAACCATAGGAAGAAGAAGTCTTAAGAGCCCATTCAAGTCTAGAATGCCCACCAGCCCATGCATTATCTTATAACTAAAAATTACAAATAATAACATAAACATAAAAAAATAATAGTAAATATAATTTATATATAACAATAATGAATAATAAGTTATATATTTTATTTAACAAATTCTTATAAAAAATAGTACATAAATTATATTTACCTTCACAAATGAAATTGATTACATTTAAATATAACAAAGAAAAAAATAAGAATAAAAAAGTAAGATATAAAATAATTATATAAAAAGAGTTTATGAAGAGAAAAGAAAATAAATATAATATGTATAATACAATTATACATAAGAAATTACATGCAAGCATTTCAATGCAAGATTAGTATAAAGGAGACTTAGTTAAATACTCTAGATTAAAAAAAAACAATTCGCACTGTACAAACAACATTGAGTTTAATGTACCTTTAACTAAAATACGACATGACATGACTTGAAATAAAGTAATCAGTACTATTACCGATATTCATTGGAAAAAAACGAAAAAATACTTTTATATTACGAAAAAAAAATTTTTTTTATTACATAAATAATATTTTTTTTATTACAATTTTTTGAAAAATGATTTGGTATTTTGGACAAGTATGGACACAGTATTAAACATATCCTTGTTTTATGGATACACGTGATTATAATTACATATTACTGAAATAATTGCCTTTTTTTAAAACTGCTTTTAATATTGTTGCGTAAAACGAACAAACCACCAACTCAACATATTTTTATAAGTAAAATATATAAAGAAATTAAATATTAAAAATATTATTGTATTAGTAATAATTAAAAAAAAATATTAATATTAGTTCCAACATGTCAGTAATATATACTGTTTACCCTATTTCTAAGAATAACGACTAACACCATACATAATATGTATTTGAACATACCTAGTTGACCGACTTCAGCGATGATGAATGAATGAAATAAAAAAGGTGATGAAAAAATTAATTAAAAACAAACACTTTACAAAAAAATTTTGGCAAAATGATACAATTACATGTTTAATTAGAGTTTTTAATACGTACAATTGTTGAATATTTATTAATTTGGTCGTAGATTCGATTCTTTAAATATTTTAACTTAATATCTCTAGTAGGAATATTTCGTGTTAGTACATATGGTAGGGTTAAACATGAAAATATGTAATGAAATTAAAACTATTTAAAAACATTTAAAATTTAAATATTTTATGTAAATTTACTAGAAAATTTAAACTTATGTTTATAACATGATAATTACTAATTAATGTCTGAAATGATGAAAATCTTGCCTTTATAAAGAATTATTTGGATTATATAGTTTTATTTAATCGTTCGAATCGATAAAATCGATACGAAATATAAACCTTTAATTAAATCTGTTTATTTTTTTGTAAAACAAACAGACAAAAAGTCATTTCCAATATTTTCGTAGCATAAATGATAAAACACTAATATTTAAACATTTTTTAATTTAAATAAAATCATTATTTATTTATTATTATAGCTAAATGAATCAGCCTGTATAACCCTCATACTCATGCAAATGTAAACCTTATACTATAATAATAAGGTTCAATATTTTTCTATATTTACCTCCATATCTGTCGAGGAGGGCCATTATAACGCCATTGGTCCAGCCAAAGCCAGTTTGTACTACATATTCTCCTCCACCGCCATAGCCACCGAATATAGTAGCATCATACTGCAACAAAATACTATACTATATATATACTAGCGACTCTCCCTCGCTTCGCTCGGGTTCGTCCCTAGGTACGTTTTAACTGTTAGTTTGGAATAGATAGCCTATATAATAGTATATATAGGTATCTCCTGCCCAGGGTCTCAAACTATCTTCATACCAAATTTCATCTAAATCAGTACCAACTCACAAACTTTACCTCTTTACAATATTAGTGTAGATTTCTATTACTTATATCATGGAATCTCATCAAGAATAAAGAAAAAATAGTAAGTTAGTTTTAAAAAATATTCTAAGCGAAGTGTAAAGAAATAATGCCCTTAAATCAAATTTGCGTAATTTTACTGATTATTGAAATATCAGCAATCAGATGTTGGGTTTGTAATACTTTTTATGAATAGATATAGATATCTCGATTAACATTTGTTAAAATCACATATTTTTTTTTGAATGCAGGATGAATTTCATAATATACACTATTTGTTAGTTTTCTCATATAATAATAAAATAAAATAATTTAACTAATAAAATTTGCGAATCAACGACATCTATTATCTATTCAAGCAAATAAAAATAGTACGAAGAATAGCCCGAATTAGCACTGTCCAATTTCTTTGTATGCGATGATGCATCTGTAATAGTATAGGTATTATATGATCTGTGCTTATAGTGTGAAAGAAATAAATCGAATTACTATTTTAAATACGAAAATTTGTATGTATTTGTATGTTTTTATCTCAGACCAAAGAATGAAATGGACAGAGCCTACCAAAAAGTATTAAATTAATAATTATCATACTATTCTCGTTTTCAGCATGTAGGTCTTTTACTTTGTTTAAAGAATAAGGGAAATTTTAAATTTGTAGTTAATATATATTTTTTGGAAATAAAATATGTAAGAGTAATATATCCTATACTAGCAGCTCACCCTTGCTCTGATCGGGTTCGTCCCTAGTTACGTTTTAACGTTTAGTATAGATTTCTCAGAAATGAAATATTTTCCCGCAGTAAAAAGTATCCTATATGTTGACCCGGATAATCAGCTATCATCTTAGCAAATTTCATCTAAATCCCTCTAGTGGTTTTTCCGTGATGCGGTCACAGACAGACAGACCAAAATTCTAAAGATTTTCCAAAAAATATTTAATGTACAGATTCGACTATATATACTCGTATATATTGATATAATATATAACTCTTACATATTTTATTGCCAAAAATTATATATTAAGTACAGTATATATAAACTCTAATTAAAAAAAATGTATATATAGATAGATACTTTATTGTACACCACAAAGAAATAATTATAGATTACTCTTTAATAGATGTACCTACCAAATAAAAATAACTTACCTTTTCCAACATGGCGGTCTTCTGCCTCCACACTTCGAAGTTCGACCTAACCCATTTGGTAGCCATTTCATTAGCTAAACGCATAGCATGGGTCATCTCAGTATCTGCCAGCCCCATGATCACTATATATTGTAATGGAGGCCATGCGTTGGGGTAGTCCCATTGCTCACCAGAATGCTCAAAGGTCGTTGGGATACCTCCTTCGAATATGTCCACCTGATGTTAGTATTAAATATTTATTTAGTTTGTTTTAATACTTTCTTAGATATACGCGAATATTTGACATTTTAAATAAAACTATCTTTTCGGATTATTTCGCGGATTTAATTTGAATTTCTGGTTTCCGAAGTTTCGAATGCTTTACAGCAATCGTGGTCACGGGAGAGACTAAGGTTTTAGACGTCTCAAAGGCGTTATTTACTTGTTACAGTGCCTTTGAGATGTCTAATACCAAAATCAAAAATCAAAATAAATCCGCGAAATAATCCGAAACGATAGTTTTATTTAGAATTGTTTTATTATATAATATATTCGCCAATTGTAAATTGATTGTTAACGATTTAAAAAAAATTACATCCCATATCGGAACGATATTTTTTTAAGCAATTTTTAGGTCGGAGTATCAGTACTTTTGTAACTTGAACTGCCTCGGTGGTGTAGTGGCTAGCATGTACAGCTACACATCCGGAGGTGCTAGGTTCGAGTCTCGGGTCGAGTTTAGTTATTAAGTCTTTTTGTTTAGTAAGACTCAGTAACAGCCCGGAGTTGGGAAGTTGTCGGTGTTTCACCCCGTGCCTCGGAAAGCACGCGGGTTCGAGTCCTGCTTAGGGCAGCACGAACGTTTGTACTCCAATCATGGGTGTTTATATTTATAATATGTATGTATTTAAAGTTACATATGAATCTGTAATGTATCAACTATTTGGTATACATAACACAAGCTTCATAGCTTACTATAGAAATAAATGGTGTTGTGTGTTAATGGTCCCAACATATTTATTTATTTTATTATTTTTGTACCTTTGTACATTTGTGTGTGCGTACGTGTGTGTTTGTGTTTTATGAAATAAACATACCTTAACTTTGTCCAAGTAATTGATAACACGGTTAACGTAGTATTCTTTTCTTGCTTTATCAAAGCATCCAGTCCACAGAGGCGCGATGTTAGTAGGATAGAAGTAATCCCTTCGTCTAGCTGATTCTAGACTGAAATCTAGCCAGGCTCCTACATCTTCATGCCAGAGGACCTGAGGGACATTTTTTTATTTTTACCCGATTTCATAAAAAGACGTTTTAAATTGAAGTATTTTTTCAGACTTTTTGCGGTTTTGTTTTTTTTTGCCGATGTTACGAATGCTTTATAACACGAATGAGACTTTTGACGTTTCAAAGAGAATAGTTATCTAGATATAGTGTTAATGTCCCAACATATTTATCATTATTATTAAAAAAATACCTTTTCAATGGCTTCCATGAGTCGAGCGTGTACTTCTCTATAATATTGCGCTTTTTCAATATTTTGCAGTTGTTCATGAAATTCCGCCATCAGTTGAGCGTTCCAACACATTATGGCGTTCAATTCCACTGGGATTATTGATCGTGTTTTTAAATTTGTTAGATTACCTAGAAAGTATTTTAAGATTATGTTTTAGTTATGTTATAAAGTTATAGTTGAAAGACTTTTTGCGATCGTTTGGAGCTACAACTTAGTTTGCTATGTTAGCTCTAAATATAATTGCTGAGTTGATAAAAAACTTAGCAAATTTTTCTTTTAAAACAATTCGGTTATTATTGTCTATATAATTTGGATATATCTGGCTTTTTTTGGCCCAACAAAAACATACAGATAGATTTAATTAAGAAACAGCGTAAAATGTCCTAAAAGTTTTCTAGTTAATTATTGAAAATTATCTATACAGATAAATAATGTAACAAACTCTTTTTCTAATAATAAAATACATTTTTTTAAATTTTCGTCTATTTGTCCCGTCTAATCTCCGAAACAGCTGGACCAATTTGACGGGACTTCCAGATTCGCTTCAGAAATTTTTGCCAGTGAAAATCCTTACTACTTTTATTTAAGAAAATGGATTAGAGTTCCGCGCAAAAAAATTATAACCTATGAAATTGCGAACAAAATCCGACGAATCGTAGCATCCAAGCAAAGCCAGGGTAAGTGGCTAATAAATAATATAAGTAACCTTTGTTAGTTCCATTTAATATGAACCATCTAGATGAGAAATCCCATCCAGACTCAGCAGCAGATTTCAACTCAGCATAAAGCTCTTCTTTCTTTGCGTCGTTGTCGAAATGTCTATAAACAAGTAGAAAAACATTTTCATATAATTACTAATTTTACTTATTAAATAGAACGTAGCAAGTTCGATTTCTTTAAGAGATAAATATTTGTATCAGTTTTTTTCTAGTACTCATTACAAGTTTAATGATCTGGTTTCATTATTCCTATTTAACTTAACCCTAAGTTGCTCATGGGTTTGATTTTAATATCAAGATTTTTTTTTATTATTAGATATTTAAATTCCAAATTTACGAAATATTTAAAAATAAAAAAGTATATAAATATTATTAACATAATTGACAATTTTAAATAAAACTATCTTTTATTTCTTGGATTTATTTTGATTTTTTGAACCGCCACGAAACTAAAATACAAATAAATCCGCGAAAAAATCCGAAAAGATAGTTTTATTTAAAACGTCAAATATTCGCGTAAATCTAAGAAAGTATTAATTTATTATTTACATTTTTGAACGTAAAACAATCACATACTTAGCACAATCGACGTCTTCTTTGTAACTCTCAGGTCTGGGGCCTTGCGATTGGTCGTTGTATCTCGATAATTGGTATCTGAAATGAAATATCATTCAATAGTCAATAAAAATATATATTACTACGGTATAGTACGTTTAAACGGTTTACAGTTAGTATGTATAGATAGACTGTATATTATATAATATATAGCCTATAGCCTTCCTCAATGAACAGGCTATCTAATGCAAAAAGAATTTTTCAAATCGAATTAGCAATTCCTGAGATTAGCGCGTTCAAACAAACAAAATCTGCCTGTTTATAATATTAAGTACAGATTAGTATAGATAGAAAACTAGAAACAATAAGAACAGTAAAAGCTAAGTTTATAATAGCTAAGATACCAGACAAAAAAACGACTATATCCATATCAATTAAACTTTTTATTATTAAACTAACGACTCACAATCGCTTCGCTCGGGTTCGTCTCTATAGGTCCGTTTTAACGGTTAGTATGAAATATACAAATCTTTGAATTTCTCGGCTTTTCTGTAATATCCATGTATTATACATATAAACCTTCCTTTTGAATCACTCTATCTATTGCTGAAAATTACATTAAAATCCGTTGAGTAGTTTAAAAGATCTAAGCGAACAGACAGCGGTAGCGACTTTATTTTATACTATGTAAAGATTGCTATTTTTTTTTCTAAATTGCTTTCCGACTAAGAAGGTGCCACACAAACAAACATATACACGAACATATAATATTATTAATAAAAAATAGTTTTTTTAATTCACTACAAAACAACAAGGAAGTTCGCAATCTATCTGTATATTTTTTGTACGTGCTTTAATTATATCGTCTATACCTCAAGGTACTTAAAAACGTAATTAAGCTATTTTTTTAAATTATTTAGAAGTTGCAGAAGTTTTTATTACAAGGTTATTATCAAATATGATTATTATTGTACAAATTTAATATACAGGCAGTGGTAGTCCAGAGGTAATACGCTTGCTTGAGAAACCAAAGGATTGCGGGTTCAAATCCCGGGTCTCGCTCCTCTGATATTCTCAGGTGCTAATCATTTTCACCATGATTACGATTTGCCTTACGTTGAAGAAAAATATCATGAGAAAATCTACACGTTTGAGAGATTCTAGCAAGTTTTCGAAAGACGTGATGTCCGCCAGCACTTGGCCAGTGTGGTGAAATATAGCCTGATCCCCCTCAGATTGCAGAGATTTCCACGCCCAGCAGTGGGGCATTAAAAAAGGATGAATACATACAGATTTATACTTACATATGGCCCTCATGTTCTACGTCAATCGTATGATTTTTGACCCAAAAATCGAACTCGCGGTCCAAAGTACCGATGTGTTGCTTCAAGAACTCAATGTCACCAAAATCTTCCATTATTAACTTTACCATAGGAATAAGGAGAGGTGGTTGAGATCTGGAAAAAAAAATAGTTTCATGTAATTATTTCCGCCTTAACATATGAATGAAACAAAAAAACAACCAACTAAACATTCAAAACCTTTATCTTTTAAGTTGGTTAATTAAAAATAGCACTTTGTTAATTCTGAGTCAGATTCCCGTGAAAGAGAATTTCGTACATTATTTTGAATTTTAAGTGTTTCATTATTTGCAATTTAATATATTATGTATATTTTACTTTTTATGTCCAGTATATTAAGAAAAAAATGATTTATTTAGACGGACAGTGAAAGTGACCCTAAAAAGCTTTCACTCTTAACCATAAAAACTTTTTAACAAAAAATAAAAACCGCCAGACACTAAAATGCAAAAAATAACTAAACGCCAGACACTAAAATGCAAAAAATAAACGGTTTTTATTTTTTGTTAAAAAGTTTATATTTTTCTATTTTTAGTGTAGACGTAATAAGCAGGTAATTTGTAAGAAGAAAGTTTTTTAATAACATATTCGATTAAACAATTTATTTAAAAAATATATTTATTGTTGATTTTTTTAAACCGCTCGACCGATTTCGATAAAATTCGATGTATAATTCACACATATAACACACACATTCTTTGAAACAAAAAAAAATTTTCCAAATCGGTTCAGGCGTCTTCGAGTAATCGGTGAACATACATAAAAAAAGATTCCAACGAATTGAGAACCTCCTCTTTTTGAAACTGGAAGTCGGTTAAAACTATTTAACTAAAGCAAATGAAACATTACCTCATTATATAATATATTCTACCACCATTAGGGATGAAACCGAATCTATCGACGATGTTTAGAAAGTTTTCAACCATGCCTTTGGCAGTTGTACGCATTTCAGATAACAATAACCCTTTAATAATCCAATATGAATCCCAATAATAGAATTCTCTGAAACGACCCCCTGAAACAAAAATTGGTTATTTATTTATTATCAGCTGGGAAAAAAACAGCTTTTATAATACAGATATATGTAAATACAAACTATTCTTCTTATAAGCCAATATAGTTTCCACTTATAAGTAAACATGGAGTGAATAAAAATTCAAAATATACACAAAATCACCCAAACATAATATTTGTGTCCAAAGAACAGGGCTCCTTCAAACCCATGTAACCCAAAAAGAGTAATATCCTCCCTAAAACGAATAATATCCTCCCGACTGATTTTGGCTACGGCGGCCAAACTCATTGAGACTAGCTAACTGCGCAGGAGATATTATAATGCAGCGCGCAGGCACAAGTGCACTCTCTATTCCTGTCATTCTCATACTGCGGTGGGATGACCACTCGATACGGACAGTCAGAATTAAAGCTTAAGACTGACGGCTTTATGTGCTCTTCGAGGCACGGGGGTTAAACACTGCCAACTTTCCATCATCATTTACTTAAAACTTCTAGACAGAAAAACTCCTTAACTGAACTTAGCCCGTCCCGTGCTCGAACCCAGGACTTCCGGATCTGCGGCCGTACATGCTAGCCACTAGACCACCGAGACAGCTTACAATAATATACTAGTTAATAAAGAGCTATAGGTTCTATGTGTATATGATAATGAATTAATTTGGTGAACATTGCCTGTTTTTATAAGCTTTTATTTAACTTGCAATTGGAATCACTTCCTCTTATCCTAGATAGTTGGAATTTTACATGTTTGTTCAGTTCCGGTGATAATCACTTTTTATATTAATTATGACCTGATTCTCCATTTAGGATTGGCTCCAGACAATTCTCTCAAAAGCAAATTTTCAACGGCTATCAGTACTGACACGAAATTTATATACTCACTCAATTATTATGTTATAAGTAACTTCATTGAAGTCGGTTTAAATTTATGTATGGTCAATTACAAATTTCCCATTTAAAATAACACGGCTACATAAAATATTACAATAATAAAACTTACCAGGTACAATAACAGGATTATCAACGTATATGATTGAGTACAATTCTTGGTTATGTTTTACTTCTTTTTTCATTTTCCTGCCTAACTGAAGCCACAGCCTATTAAGATCTGACGCCCATTGGTGGAATAAAGGATCTTTGATATTATGGAGAAATGCTGGAACAAAAATGATAAACACTTTTACTTCTGCACCTTATTTTAAAATTAAGAACTTATTAAATAAATCTGATCATTAGTCGGTTCTATTTCCACTCAAAGCACTTAATTCATTCAACATTAAATCGGTTTTCCTATATGCTATCCATATGAAATCCTACTTATATTATAAATGTGAAAGTTTGTGAAGATGGATGCATAGATTGATGATTCTTATTCTTTCATGCCAGAACGGCTGAACAGATCTGGATGAAATTTGGCACAGAAATAGATTATAGTCTGGAATAGCATATAGGTTATTTTTATCCCGGTTAAATGTACAGTTCCCGTGGGATAATTAGTTTTTTTTCTAGGGACGAACCCGAAGCAAAGCAAGAGTGAGTCGCTAGTAATATACATATATCAGGAAAACTGTAAGTAATCAATACCCATTTTCAACAATTCATCCTATAAGATACCTAAAGATCTCTTAAGCTAAATGGTACCCTATTATATTAAAAAAAATAGTTTTTACCAACTTAACGTTTTGAATTTCTTTGTAAGAAGACATGTTCTTTACTGATGCAATGTTTAGCAAAACTAACTTTTGTTTTCAATTTTTAATTAAATAAAAAAATGAAAATGGTTCACAATTAACGTAGTTACCGCGTACGATACCCACAATAAATATAACCGAATTAAATATCTTCTCATATTTAACATCGGTCAAAATCTTGCTTTACTATATTAATTCAAAAGTTTGGATATAGATAGATGTTTGTTACTCAATCACGCCAGAACGGTTGAACGGATCTGGACAAAATTTTGCACAAATAGATTACAGTCTGGAATAGAACATAGGCTAGGCATTTTAATCCCAGAAAAAGATACAGTTCCCGTGGGATAGATTTGTTTTTATTTTTCCGCTAGTATAATAATAAGTTACTCAGCAGTTTTCCACAAAAAAAGGTATTCAGCCCTTTTTAGTCATTCCATTACTGGGCAAGGAGCTCCTTTCAATACGAGGAGGCATGGCCATAGTCCGCTACATAGGCTAAGTGCGGATTGGCAGACTTCACGTATCTTTCGAGAACTTGCTAGGACACATAACTTCTCACAGGCATGCAGGTTTCTTCGCGATAATTTTCTTTATCGCAAGTAATACTCATTTTGAAAATGATTCGCACATGAATAATAAGAGCGAACGTGTTACGTCTTTTTTTATTTTATTCAAAGCGAAAAGAGAATCCGTCCCGCAGGGGAAAGTACGTTAAGATAAAAATATATTTATACAACGTTTTGCTTTCATCCCATAATCTTTTAACTAGATTTATATCTCAACAAACAATTTATACGTTATCAGAGTTTATCTAGATTGCGTTTTGAAGTGCGATTTGTGACATTGTGTAAAAATATAATAATGAATAACATAGGCAGTGGTAGCCCAGTGGTAAAGCGCTCGCTTCGGAAACCGAGTGGAGCGAATTCAAATTCCGTATCATGCACCTCTGATATTTTCATGTGCGAATCATTTCCAACATGATTACCATTTGTGTCACGGTGAAGTAAAACATCGTGAGGAAACCTGCATGTCTGAGAAAATCTAACACGTTTTCGAAAGACATCTGTAGTCCGCCAATCCGCACTTGGCCAGCGTGGTGGACTATGGCCTGATCCCCTTTATATTGAAGGGAGGCCCGTGCACAGCAGTGGGACGGTAAAAAGGGCTGAATACATACTAATACCAAATTAACCAATATCTATTTACTTGGTATAATGATACTATACTTAGCAGCTATACTTAGAAACAACAGGTGTACATCGTATAGCTGTTGAGATTGGAAGATTGCCTCTGTATAAATTATGCTTTATTCATCTTCAAAAATACTAAAATGTATTAGAAACTATTAATAAAATTCTAATGGCCTAAGAGCCTGTGAACGCCAGACCTTCGTCATTTTATAAAGGCTGAAAGTTTGTCAGCGCATGCTCCAAACACATATAAGAACGATGGACCATTATGAAGTTCAGGCTATGGTGGCTTTGGCAGGTACACGGTACTAAAGTTGTGTAAAATACCGATCTAAATTCGTCAAATAATAAAGTGTGATTTTTTGGTATTACCTTCAGAATATTATTAAAAGTCACGTCATTCAATGCCAGAAACTTAACATCGTGGCAAACCCTTGCCAGACACCCTTAACATCAAATCATAATTCTACTTATGTTATAGTATAAAAGCTGATTTTTATATATAATACTTGGGTAGTAATTAGATGATTTATAAGACTGCTAGCATAGCATTTATTACACACCATCAACATTAAAGTCAATTCTTAGCGCTTCAAATTTGGTTACCATTTGCAACATTTCCTTAGAAATGCCTCCCAACTTGTTTGGAACATTTTTCATGGTGTGTAAAAATTTGGTAGGGTCATCACATATAAGATACTTTTTGTTGCAGGAAAATATCTCATCTCTGAGAAATCTATACTAATCGTTAAAAAAATCTTAGGGACCTACCGAACGGAGCGAGGGTGGCCTCTATACACCTATCATATAAATAACCAGCCAGCTACTAGTAGTTTTAACACCTTAAGGTAAATTTCTAAGAAATCTATCGTTAACTGACACGCCGGCGTGTCCGCGGTCGTGGAGGGATTAATGCCAAAATGACGACCGACCAAAATGACGAGTCACGACCGATAATAATAGCGCTGCGATCGAGTCACTTTTTCTACTTGTATTATAAAGGACACAAATACGTTTGAAGAGTCTGTTAGTAAACAAAAAAAGTTCTCACCAGGATTTTCTTTCCAATCAGTTGGTCGCCAGTCCTCGAACTCTGAACCTTCAGGATCGAAGTTCTGGTTGACAAACTCCTGGATATCAGCCCTAGTTGGTCTTGAACTTGTCCTGAAAAAATAAAACATCATTTGACTAACGTACTTCTAAACTAGTATTATAAAGAGAGAAAAAAAGTTCTTTTTTGTGTTTGTTTTTAGTGTTTGTTTGTAAACTAAAAATTTTTTGGGTAAACTAAAAATTAATGGACCCATTTTTGTTTTTCTCTCAAATATTTCACCTATGAAAGGCTATCAGAGAAACGTGGGCCATATTTTATTTTTAAAAACATTAGAAATCCCCAAAAATGCTGTAACGTAAGGTACCAAAATTTCGTTTATAATAGTCATTATTTGGCATGCACTCTATTATATGAAACATGGTACGATAATGTTTGTCATTCTGTTAAATGCCGATCTTAATGGAACTAGACTTATATTTGAAATTTCGCACACGTATTCCTCAAATGACGAAGGCATTTACTAAGGAAGGATTTTTCAAAATTCAATCCCCAAAAGGGTGAAATAGGGGATAAAAGTTACTATGAAACTTTTTATTCCTTGGACATATTTGCATGAAATAACGTATTTCAGCGTTTTCTAAAATTCAACCCCTAAGAGGGTAAAATAGCGGATGAAAGTTTGTATGAAACCTACATTTTTAGAGATTGTATTAGTAGTTTTAGCGCGAGCGAAGCCGCGGGTTCTGCTAGTCCAATATAAAATAAGTGCAAATGCGCATGTGCAATATCTATTCGTCAATAAGTTGTTTAATATTAGTTGTCTAATAGGGTGGTAATTGATATATTTGGAAAAATAAAAACCCAGGATGCCTGAACTGAGAATTTTTCTCTCGTCTTATCGCCTCCTCTACTGGTGACAGGAGGGCTGGCACATTTTTCGCACAATGAATCGGCATTGGCATTGGGGGACTGCGGCTAGCATTTTTGCCACTATTCCACGCGGACATGACTTGTACAGTAATAACTAAGTGTACATTTCTTTGTATATATAATAAGGTATATTTGTAATTTTCTTTATAGTAAATAAATTACTATCGTTTTTTAATACCTACAAGACAATTATTTTAATGCCTACATTATACTTTAAGCCTTTAAGATGCCAATGAAAACTCTATATGCAGACTAATTTTAAAATAGCAGTCATAATTTTCCTTAACGAAAAACAAGCGCATTAAATGTAAATATTATATGTTAAGTACCTGCTCATCATCTCGTTGAAATGTTCCATTGTTATATTCGGTGAGAGCTTCATTTTCATATCCACGAAAGTTTTAGAGTCATTGTAAAGACCAGCCATCTGGACCGTATCTAGGAGAGGTCCATGGCAGTAGATTAAACTGAAAATTTGAGAAAATATGTCATTAATTATTTAGTTTGCCTTTCTGGGTATACTCGAAAACCTATTAAATATTTTGGAACTATTGCCATATAAACGATATATTGCATGACGATAACGATGTAATGGATACATGCAACCCTACTTCTTTATCTAAAATAATAGAAGTCAAAGTTCCTTTTTATAACATCAGCTATTTTGCCAGTAAAAGTTCCATCAAAATCAGTGCAGCCATTTCGGAGATTAGCCGGAACAAACGGACGGACAGTCAGTAATATTAAAAATTGTTATTTTCTTACAAGTACCGTATATACCTTTATAACAATTTAGTAAAAAGCTTTTATTTTGATTGACATTACAAACAGACACTTCAATTTTATTTATTTGTATAGGCATTAATTATTATATAAATTTATTTGTATATCGACAAGGTGTGTATCTTTTGTCGTCACAATGGACTGAAATGAATCAAAGCCTATTATTATGTATACAATAAAAAATCCTTCACGACCACGATAATGATATGTAAATATTTCCTTACGGTCATTTTCGAATGAAAAAGAATTACAAGAATGAGTTCATATTTCAATACCTACAAATATTTAAGCACGTTTAACAACATTGGTACATTAACAATTTTACTATTTACATACATGCATACTAGCTTTCGCCCAATGGTCAATTCGACCATATATCCCTAGCTATATCATTATTGACTAGCGACTGTCCCTCGATTCGTTTAGGGTTCCTAGACGAAAACAAATCCATCCCGCGGGAATTGCATTTTTTTCCGCGATAAAAAGTAACCCATATATTACTAGACTATAATCTATCTCTGTGCCAAATTTCATCAAGATCCTTTCAGCCATTCTGGCGTGATTGAGTAGCAAATATCCATCCATTCTCACAAACTTTCACATTTATAATATTTACAAGATGACAAAAACCAAATTCTTAGGTTTTACGTATTAGTATCCTCTTACAATGCAGTTTTTGTTTTTTTTTCAGAAATGAGCTATTTTCCCGCGGTAAAAAGTATCCTATATGTTGACCCGGATAACCAGCTATCATCATACCAAATTTCATCAAAATCCCTCCAGTGGTTTTTCTGTGATGTGGTAACAGACAGACCGACAAAAATTCTAAAAACTATAGATTCGGCCTCTGTATCGATAATAATGTCTATTTCAATAAGATTTTCCAAAAAATATCTAATGTACAGATTCGGCTTAGTTACAATTTTATTATATGTATTTGTATAGATTATACAGATTAGCATCAGAAGTCGTAAAATTAGCATCAGGTGTAAGTATCGATAACTATACATCAGGTCGAATCATTTACTTTGAAACTAGAATTCAGTTGAAAATAATAACAAATGAATATGTAAGTTTAAGTTTTTGCGTTAAAATCCCATTACGCGTATATAGCGTTTTTCTTTTTAAGCACGCAAGAGAGAAGATTTGTTTTTAGGTTTTTTATTAAAATTCAGTGTATTCCAGTTAGTCGTAAGTCGATTTTAACTTACTACTTATTTTTGTATCGATTAGGAGAAACTATGCTAGCTGTAAGTTGACATATTTTTGATGAAAGGTAAAGAGTGAGTTTTTCAAAGGTTACTACTCTACTACCTTCGAGTTAGGGCTCATTTTATTTTTTTAACAAATGTACATTACAGCAGTCCAAAATAGACTTTTTTAAATACTTTTTTTTAAATATACCATATTATAAACAAACAAAATCGAAAACAACTGTTAGTGTTAATATAATATATTCGCAAGCATGACATAGTAGCAGCATTACAATTAGACGAGGCCACATATTTCCGGTTTCATTTCAATGATTGCATTATATTCACACGCGGCTTTGTTTTCTCTGTGCAAGCGCATGAAAAACTATATATAGAATAAAATTATGTAATTTATTCCAATGTCATCATTAATATAAATAATAATTCATCTATTCTAATAATATAAAGAGGCAAAATTTGTTTGTTTGTTTGCTTGCTTGCTTGAACGCGCTAATCTCAGGAACTACTTCTTCTTCTTCTTCTCGTGTCGATGGCAAGTTTTAAATGGAGTCAGCCCAAAACTCAGCCACGATCGTTGCTTTGTCAGTGGCGTCCATAAGCTCCTGTAAGCTGCACAGGGCAAGCAGGGCATGCCAGTAAGTGCCTCATCATTTGTGAACAGTACCACATCTACACTCCAGGCCGCCCGCTGAAAATCCCCACCTGGATAAGTTTTCCTTGCTTCGGCCAACCTGAGTCCGGAGTCTGTTGAGAGACTTCCAGGTCTGCCAAGGCAAACTATGTCCAGGCGCAAGATTCTCAGACGGTGGAACAAATGGAATTGGCAAAGGACCATAACTGTCCCGCCACATCCTGCATCTTGCCTGTGGTGGTTCATCTCCAAGTGGTAAGACACACTTCATAAAACTTTTACGACTTTTTAACCTTTGTGGCACCAGGATGTTGTCGTGTATGGGGTGTCGCGTGTCTTGTTCCATTTTGGTCCTTTCACTGGAGCTCGCCACTGCTCTACGCACTTTTGGAAGCGCAATTCCTGCCAGTGGGTACAGCATTGGTATCGGAGTCGGTTTCAAACAGCCAGTAATAATACGACACGTTTCGTTTAGAGCTGTATTCACTAGTTTTGCGTGGAAAGAGCGGCACCACACGGGGCACGCATATTCACCAGCAGCGAAGGAAACGGCCAACCCAGTAGTTCGTAGATCATCAAGCGAGGCACCCCACTTAGAAATGACTAGGCGACGCAGGATTTGATTCCGGCTATGGACTTTCTGCTTGATGTTCTCGCAGTTTTTACGAAAGGTGAGTGACCTGTCCAGAGTGACGCCGAGGTATTTGGGGAAGTTACTGTGTTCAATAGACACCTCACCCCAGGCAATGTTTAGTTTTCGCCCTGCCTCTCTATTGCGAAGGTGAAATGCGCAGGATTGAGTTTTGATCGAATTCGGTTTCAGCGAGTTTGCGGAGTAATACTGATCTAAGTTAGTAAGAGCATTTGATAGGTTCGCCTCGACCTCTTCGAAAGTGAAAGTCAGGAACTACTAATGCGATTTGAAAAATTCTTTTTGCATTAGATAGCCCGTTTATTGAGGAAGGTGGAGGAGATTCATCATCATACTACTACCCAAGCGAGCGGGGCGGTAATATAATATCTATACATATAATAAAATTGTAACTAGCTCGAATCTGTACATTAAATATTTTTTGGAAAATCTAACTGAAATAGATATTATTATCGATACTGAGTCCGAATCTATAGTTTTTAGAATTTTCGTCTCTCTGTCTGTTACCGCATCACGAGAAAACCACTGGACAGATTTTGATGAAATTTGGTATGATGATAGCTGGTTATTCGAGTCAACTTATAGGATACTTTTTACCGCGCGAAAATATCTCATTTCTGAGAAAAAATACGAAAACTGCATTGTAAGAGTATACTAATATGTAAAACCTAAGAATTTGGTTTTTAGTCATCTGAACGCGGGCGGAGCCGCGGGCAATGCTAGTATAGTCTATATATTCCATACTAACTATTAAAACATACCTAGGAAGAAACTCGAGTGAAGCGAGGGTGAGCCCCTAGTGTTTATAAAGTAAAGACTGCTACGTGAAAGGTATAATTTTCGAAAATTATTTCTAGATCTTTCACCGACGTTTTTCTTGCTAGTTTAGCTGTTGCTGTGAAATTTTCTTCCTAATAAAGGTACATAATTACGTAATGTATATAAGCCTTTTTAACGCCTCACTGTTGGGTATGGGCCTCATATAAAGTGCATAAGTTTCCACCACTAACCAAGTGCGGGTAAGCAGACTTCACATATTTTTAAAAAACTTGCTAGAATCTCTGACATGCTGGTTTCCTCACGATGTTTTCCTTCACCGTAAGACAAACATTGGGACGTTAAAAAGGGCTGAATACATAGTAGGCAACCAACATACAAGTACTAACAAAGTTCCGCATTTATGATAATAGTTTGACAGACACTTAATATTTTTAAAGCCATTACTCAACACGTTTTTTTTTATAATGTGCTAAACTGGCACGCTTTGAAGTCATTAACAAGAAATTGTTGTAAAACTGTAGCTCGTGTAGCGGTTATATGTGACACATCATAGACATTTTAAATTTTATATATTTAAAAAAACTGTTTAAAACATCAGTACCAATATTATCTACACATATAGTAAAATTCTGAGCCGAATCTGTACATTAAATATTTTTGGAAAATCTTATTGAAATAGTCATTATTATCGACACAGAGGCTGCATCTATAGTTTTTATAATTTATGTCTGTCTGTCTGAAACGCATCACAAGAAATTTACTGGACAGATTTCGATGAGTATGATGATAGCTGGTTATATAGGTCAACATATAGGATACTTTTTACTGCGGGAAAATATCTCATCTCTGAGAAATCTATACTAACCGTTAAAACGTAGTGATAAACCCGAGCGGAGCGAGGGTGAATCGCTAGTAAATATTAGGTATAAAATCTATTTGTCAACCTGAGCTTGACACATAAACCCACCTCAGTAAAATGTTGGCATAGCTACGACATTCTGGAGTTGAAGACATACTTTTTACGTAACTCAGAGAAATCATCAATCAGTGAACAAATTTTTGTGTGTATTTTTATTCTGTCCAACCTGTTCTGTTAAACCGTTTTTCTACTAAACTTTTTCAAAGTAAATAGATAATTTTATGAAAATTAACTAAAACGTATTTGTAGCTGTATATCCTGTGTGTGTATATATCCTGGGGACTGTTTTTTGTTTTGAAAAAAATACCTTATATACGTGTGAAATAGCAAAAAAATATGTTTTGTCATCATAAATCAAATCTATACTAATATTATAAAGAGGTCAAGTTTGTGAGTTTGTGAGGTTGTAGGAGGTAATCTCTGGATCTACTGAACCGATTTAGATGAAATTAGGTAAGAAGATAGTTTGAGACTCAGGGAAGGACATA